TTACAGATATGATCACACCATGTGTTGTCGTGATAACTCCATGGATCAGCTTTACACTCGGTTATCCTCCGCGATACGGTCTGTGCCGAGGGGCGATCGACTATTCTTACTGGGTGACTTCAACGCGCGCGTTAGGCGTGATGCTGCGGTGTGGACAAACGTCATCGGTCCGTATAGTATTGACCCAGCCAATGGGAATGGTGACCGGCTGTTCACACTGTGCGCCATTTGTGGCTTGACGATCACGCACGGCTGGTTTACACTGGGTACACCCACGGAGTGGTCACGCTCACCTACTCAGCTTTGTCATCGTACACTGACGTGACATGCGTAAAGTGCGCATGACACGTGTACTAGGTGGAGCTGAGTATGGCACTGATCACAAATTGGTGCGGACCAAATTGTACATCTATTTTCGTAGATCTCTGTACTGCTCAACTGCCGTGAACCCACGCAAATTTAGCTTTATTTCTCTAGGTACTGCTGAGAGGAGGATGGAGCTGGAGAACGCGATAGCTAGCAGCCTTGACGATGTGTGCTGCATCTCATCCGTGACCAGGTTACGGCTACGGCCGAGGAAACGATCGGTCGCGCAAGCTAAGCGGCCTGTTTGGTTTGATGACAACAGTGTATTTGGGTCTGCGAAGAATGCAGCATTCGCCGGAGTTTCTCAAACTTCGACGGCGACCGACTCGAGTGCTCTGTCGAAGATGAAATGTTACCTCGAACGTTGCAAACATAAGGACTACTTTGACTCCTTAAAGACGGTGTATCAACCCACGTTGCAGCCGCTAAAGGTGCTGGTGGATGCTATTTCAGGCACTGCCTGCACACAGACCGGACATAATGCAGACCTGGCAAAAGCACTTTGACTGTCTCTTGGACAACTGTTCAGAAATTGACTGGACTATGTTGCACGTGCTGTCGGATACATGAACACTGGATGAGACGCGACGAACAGCTGCGAAGCGGCAAGTGCGCCGGTTCCGACGGGATACCGTCACAAGACTGGAGACGCGGTGGACGCGTGTTGATACACGCGCTGCACCACTGAGTGCAACGCGTGTGGTTTGAGGAATATGCCCTTGTGCTACCACTGTACAAGGGTAAAGAGGGCAAGCAATGTTGCACGAATTATCGTGGCATCAACTTGCTGAGTTGTGTGGGCAAGGTGTTTGCCCGAATCCTGCTCAAACGCCTCGCCAGTCAAGTTGTAGAACCTAACGTGGCGGAAGAGCAATGTGGATTCCGTTCGAGTCACAGTTATTTTTCTCCTGATGATTACTTCGACTGCCTGTGTCAAGACAACTGCACTTCATTACGCCAGGATAGTGGATAAATGGAATGAGACTGAGCTAGTCCAACTGCCTGGCCTGACCGTCACTGCCTGGTACCAACCTGCGCACTTCATGATTGTGACGACGACAATCCACAAGGTGAACAGATTTGACAAAAGCGATTGTCACCTCGCTTTCGATTTTGAAACCGAAACCGGAAGACTAGAACACTGTGTTTGTTTGGCCACTGGTTACTAACCAGTCTACTAGTTGTGGCTTTATCCAGCCATACGATCCAGTACTTTTAAATGGACCGGAGCGATGTGTACTCGTCGTCTAGTCTATTATCGACAATCATTTACGGCGGAATACACTCTACTGATCACTACTTCTTCAACAGTTTAGCCTTTAACTCCAGACATCCTCATTGTAACTGTACCGGCTATCTGAGCGTCCCGTCCGCTGCAAGCACTTGAAATGCGTCTGCAAAGATTAGGTTTTGTTTTCTACACGCCCTTCCCGATACGTGTTATGCACTAATACTCTATCCTCCACTACGAGCATTCCATAGGACAGTATTGGCCCCGAAAGACACGATTTCCCTAATACTTTATCTGTTTGGATGTGATCAACTGTGACTTTGGTAAATGAGTTTGATTGAGGTGCCCGAAGAACTGATTCGGGTCTGCACTCCCCCTTTCCTTACCAGAAACCTGGAAACCCGTTACTTGGAAAACACTTCCGTTGCGAATCCTGTAGCGTTGCATTCTGTTTCCATCTAATGGTCCCGTTACCTTCTCAACTATCTTTTCGTAAACCGTTTGTCCCTTGTTTATTCTTTACTGCTTGTCTTCATACTATGTTAATCCCCATGAAAGCATGGGTAAAATCAAATACAGTCGAACCCGAAGTTGGACTTGGAAGTTGGATTTGGACTGGTGGTTGGGTTGCTACAAGCAACCTCTATTGAGACCTCGGTTCACTTGAGGTGGACCTCGGTCATTCCGATCACAAAGACCGTAAGTAAAATGGAAACATTATGGTGTTGCTCATCCCAACACTGGCACCCCAAGACCGCGGTTTCGTCCTGGTTTGGACTCATCAGTTGGAGATAGCCTGAGTTGGGCTGGAACTCAGAGCCTAGTAGCTCATGGTTGACGCCATAAGCACTATGCCACTGAGATCCGCGAGCAACGCTTGGTACAGCGGAAACGAATTCAACTCAGGCTATCTCTAACTGATGAGTCCCAACCAGGACGAAACCGCGGTCTTGGGGTGCCAGTGTTGGGATGAGCAACACTATAATGTTTCCAATTACAGTCGAACCCGCTTTATTGCTCACCATCGGGATATCTCAAGAGTGGCAGTAAAGCGGAGTGGGCAATTAACCGATATTGCCATTTTTCCAAAAAGGGAAACAACCATTGAATTATTGTACAGTATATCACTTGAATTGTAACGTGCTAAGAAAGATAAACTACGTACTTTTAACTGAAGCTTACAAAAGACGTTTATTCAGAAGTGCATGACCTATAATTTAAAAATTATAACATAAAGCATCTTACCTGGATAGCTATAGAAACTGACGCTACTGTATATTTTTGCTGAGAAAACAATCCAACGTCAGTTGCGTATTATTTCGTGTAGATACCCCAGTCATTTTTGCTCTAAGGAAGTCCATTTGCGATAAGAAATTGTTACCTTACTCATGGAAAAGTCTGTGGCTACATCATTCACATAGTTATTTGCTCTTGAATGTGACACGCGCTGATTGCTGTTACTCACGGAGGCATCTGGCACGTCATCCTCTGAGTCGCTGCCTTCTTTCTGTTCTAGTCGGTTCTCTAAAATTTTACTGACGATTTCATCTTCAACAGTTGTGAGATCTGAGGTACATTCCACATCGTTGTCAATGGCGACGAACTCTTCTGCATTCGTGACTGGGATTGTGCAAGCGCTGATCTCGTCTTCAGCGATGACGGCGTCATCAGAAAGTGCATCGGATTCTAGTCGACTAAAGCCAGCATGCCGAAAGCACACTTTTATTGTTGCACCGGTAACCTGTCTCTAAGTTTATAAAAGGAACTTAGTTGCATTACGCACCGAAACCTTAGCGTTGACATCCACCACCGATGATGAGCCAGATAACACGTTGTTTTCAGTGTGATAAAGAATTCGGTGCGCAATTTCCTTACTGTAACGGGTTCTCAAATTCATATTCACACTTTAGTCCATGGGTTGAAGAATTTTGGACGTGTTTGCCTACAAAAATTACGTTTGGATGTCTTTCAGTCTATCTGCCTGTGGATGTGGTGTGCAATTATCCAAGAGCAACATAGCTTTTCAGCCACATTAGCCTATCTTTTTGTCCCATTCGAGGACCCACTCGGTGAAAAGTTCTTTCGACATCCACGCATTTTTGTTAGCTCTGTAAGTTACAGGAAGTGTAAGTACCTTCACGCTATTAGAACATCGTGGTTTTTTACTTTTGAAATCAATACTATATTTCTTTTATCCGTGCCTGACGTATTCGCGCAGCACAAGAAAGTGATCCTATCCATGACTTTTTCGATATACTGCGCTTGTCTGCAACAAAACACAAAGAGCATTCGGGATTTGCTCGGTACAAAGGACTTCTTTCGTCTGCATTGTTACCCGTTGTCATCATAAAAAGCATTTAAAACTTCATGCAGTCGATCTTTCAGTCAATTTTCACAGACTGCTCTGTCCACGGAACTCTTCGCCATGTGCACGTTTGTACACAACTTGAGTTCTATTCTTCCATCTTCGCAACCGTCCTTCTGCGGCAGCACAACATTTTCCAAGTCCTTCCCCGAGTTCTTCTGCCTTTCTTTCCAGAAGCGCGCCTGTTACTGTTTTGTTGTGCTCAAGAACCGAGATCATCCCGTTTTTTCCTCATCCTTACCACATCGCTTCTTTTTTGCGAGTGCTTGCAATGTCGTGCGACAAATTCTGCCGGAGTTCCTTTTCACTGGCAATCAACCTTGCTAGGGTAGGACGAAAAATGTGCAAATCACTCGACATCTTGACTTGTGAAGTTCCTATGGTGGATATGTCTTAATTTGTCCAAAATGTCTAACTTTTCTGTCAAGAACAAATCTTTTATGTTATTTGGCATACTTGTGTGTAACCAATAGAATAGTGACAAATGTGGAGCGGAAACTTTACCCAGTTCTCGAGTTTTTTAGTAGGGTCGAGGGTTTGCGCACAGCCGTCTGTACATTTAGCTTGCTCTTGTATTGAATGACATAGGTAACCTTTTCTTATCTCTCAATAATGCCGCCCACCGTTGTCGTGTTCCTCGATATCAAAGATGCATTCGATTCGGTGGATAGACATGCACTTTGCGACTGTCTACTCAGGAAAGGTGTACCTGAGAAATATGTAAATATTATCCGAGCATTATATGCGCGTAGCTCAGGCAAAGTGAGGGCTTGCGGCAAGTTGTCGTCGCCCTTTAATATCTCCAGCGGCGTGAGACAAGGATGCCCGCTGTCACCTTTCCTCTTCAACTTCGCTGTTGACGAATCTTTTTTTCGTATTCTACTTTACCTTCTGACTCGTGGTTGTTCTTGATCGAAGTTAATTTGCCCGTCTTTCCACACAATCTGTCTTTCCTGCTGCCCACTCAGCCATGATTGTGAGGATTTTTCTTGCTCAGTTTTATCATTATATTTTTATGATGCCTTACTTTCCTTTTAGGAGCCTATCAAATCTGTAGTTTTGACAGAAATCAATGAGCTCCGAACAGTCTGGTTAGCCGGGCACAAGGTAAGTTCGTGTGGTCTTCCGTTCCCTCTTATTATCTGCCCTACAATTTTATACTTGCATTTTTGACTGCGCTCTAAACCTCTCCTTCTGAATTCGATTATTTTTATCGGTTTGCTTATCACTTGCTCTTTGCATCACTTTAACGCGTCTCTTTAGTCGTTAATCCCCTCACCCCGGCACTATTCCTCGAACACTGGTAGTGTACATGCCAGCTCATGGGATTCGTTTGTTTTGCGTGGGATCGTATTCATCATCAACTGGAATACATCAGTCATCTGAACTAATTTTTCGCTGTCGTACAACTACAGTAACCTACAAAACGATGAATACTATCAAGGTGAGAAGAAGGGCCTGAGAAAAAATTCAAGGTCAAGTTGCGTACACCTTGTAAACAACATACCATCACAAACAGCTGGCTATCGTGCAAAAATGAGGCGGTATCGTTGCGACAGCGTGTTTCAGTGCCCGGCATCTTAATCAGCCATTACCCCGCAGAGCAACACCGAACACAATCTAGAAACTTGCGTCTCTTGGTCCAACGCTGTCCGCGCACATTGAAAATGCGGTTATCGGGAGAGGAGTCGCACTATGTCCGCTTGTTTTATTAGTCACGTATGTCAGTGGTCTTATTCAATGCCACAACAGTGCAAGGTCACAGATTCCAATTCATTATCGCACAGATGGAATGCGCACGAAAGTACAAAACAGATATCCATAGCTTTTCTGGACGTATGATGCCTGTTGGGCTGTCTAGCTGTGATGAACCTCCTTCAATGTAAATCCAAATCTCCTTTGTGGCACCGTCTGGAAAACTCTTGCAGCGATTTTATTTCTTGCCAGCGTATCACCTTGGTTAACCGCGGCCGATACGGTTAGCGAACCATGAAATGTTGCCCTGTAACCTGTTACAAGAGTATGCTGTATGTGTGTATTCTAGACTCTAATAGTCTGGGATCCACGTTATCTGGATTTCATTCTTGTTGATTGTCTGTGTCTGTAGTGCAACGCCGGTCAGGTCTTCTGTCCATGGCTCGCGTCGACAAAGGCGTCGTGTATAAACACTCATCCCGATGCCGCATCTGCCGTCACGAGCTGTCAGGTTAATTACAGTCAAACTCCCATCGTCGTTTCTAGCCGCTTATGTATGAACTTGCGTCAGATCTGTGGCTCCACTGGAAATTTCTCTCCCCGAATTACTTGGTTTTTATTAACTGATCTACAATCCCTTTTCAGTAAGGAAAACAAAGTGTAATGTTCCATCACTTGCTCGGGATGGGATACATTAGCGTTCTTATGCCTTATGTCTTCAGCAATTTGGCGATATTTTCACTTTCTTGGATGTGTATTTTCTCTGCTGATGGCCGAAAGCTTGCAACCATAAGATCACCGGTTCGAATCCGCCTAAGGGCAGCCGTCCTCTCGGTGTACTCAGCCCACGCACTACTGCTGGTGGTCACGCGGCACGAAAGCGCCGTTACAGCGTACAGCTGACGATTTATTATTTATTTTCCCCTAACTCTTAGAAGATTGATGAATCCCCGAATGTTTCCATGGGACTAATTCACACACGTCCTCCCCTTTTGGTCACTGTTATATCCCACGCAACGAAATCGGAGGTTTCCCACGGACTCAACAGCTGTTCTTTAAGATTACTGTTAATCAGCTACCTATTGAATTACCTACATCTTCACTCTTAGGATCGGGCTTGTCTGCTGACGAAAATTTCGTTACATCAGAATCATGATTTTACGCACAGATTTGTTGGTCTGTCACCATTTTAGCAAACCGATGGATGAGAATTGATATATCGAACTATCCTATCCATTGTATTGTAGGATTTTGTCCGATCCGTGTCAAGTTCGGCAAGTCGGTATGCCTGACTTCTTCGCTCAAGTGGCTTGCGTCCAGGATAGACGCGGGACCCTTACAAATTTGTATTATGCCCTTAAGCACGGATCAATTTGCTCAGTTCGTGTCTTATCAGACGCCTTCCCCAAAACAACTTGCAATCTCCAGCGTTATCCCTCATCCGTTTTTTTTGCTCAGCTTATAGTGCACCATCTTATGTTGTCTCCCACTGCGGAATCTCACAATACATACATTGCTTTCTTGCTCTTGGTCAAATTGGCTGATCCGAATTACGCAGACAGCATTATTACTCCGACGATGTAGAGATAGCATTGTGTTATAACCTTAACCCACATCCAGGAAAGCGCTAAACGGCCGTTTCGTCCTATTGGGACTCGTCAGTAGCGCGCACCCGTCGAATCCTGCCGGATTCGAACCCACGACCCTACTCTTACGAGTCAGCGACTTATGTCACTGAGCCATGGGAGACGGCAGCAGACCGCCATGACTGATATTTAACTGCGATATAGCGCGGCTCATCCTCCACTGTATTGCATGTTATGAATGTGCGGAGGACAGAGCTGGCCCCCAGAGCAACGACTTCCTTTGCAAGCCGCCACCAATCGAGGTGGCAAGTATGCTGCGCGCTACTGACGAGTCCCAATAGGACGAAACGGCCGTCTAGCGCCTTCCTGGATGTGTGGTGATTGTTTAACTGAGACGAATCTACACAAAACCAAATAAATTCCCCTACTACCTACATATAATCTTCCCACTTGTCGTGATTCCGCAATCTACACTTTATTGCTTCATAAGACCTCTAGCACAGCCGAAGGAAAAAATCAGAACGCAAATGGCCTTGACAAATTGGCGCGTTAACCGCCGAAAAACAATGTACAACTGAAGCAGACCTTGGTTTTATTTATAGGTCGCTTATGGACGCTCGACTTCTGGAATAGGAGGGTCGCCTGTCAAAATTAGTAGTTCTATGCCGATCTGGCCAATCTTCAAGAGGTTGACAGTCACGTGAAAACCTTCGAACATCCCACAAAGTTCGAAATCGATACGATAGCTAGTAACAATCGATTAATCGCTAAAATAATAGCTTTTCCGGGAAATTCTTCTCCTGGACACAGACTATCCTCGATGAATTTCCTAGAGGCTCACTCAAGTGGATATGTTGTCATGTGGGTCGCAAACGGCAGTTAATGAAGATGAAGTCCCTGCGGCGGCCATGGTAGTTCAGAGAGATAAGTTTCGTCTGTTGTAGCCGAAGGGGATACGAGACAGGACAGAATCCATGAACGAAACAAGCTCCCACTTGATGAGCGTCCCATTTCGTGTGCCAGTATGTGGAAAGGAGCCCCCAACACTGCGACTTGATAGAACGTTCTTGATTCTATTATGGAGAAAAACAAGCAAGTGCAAGACAATCAACACACTTTCATGGAGACATGTGATTAGAGCCAGTCACCATATCTAAAGGAAATTCTGGGAACAGGGCCAGCCAAATTAGGTATACGTTGCGTTTGAATTCATTAACAGTTTTGCATCCCAATAAAGCAGAAGGAATTACTTATGAATGGAAGGATTTTGGTGAGTATTTTTGTTCGTCGCAATCAGCCGACAATTCCGATATATGTCGACCAGCTATCCGGAAAAGCACCAGACGGCCGTTTCGCCCTATTGGGGCTCATCATAATCAGATAGTTAGATACCGTCCTCCATGGCGCAGTTACATAAGCTGCCGGCTAGTTGGCAAGAGCCACTAGCAGTCATGGGTTCGATCCTCCGCAAAGGACCGAAAGATGCGCACCACTGATGAGCCCCAATAAGGCGAAACGGCCGTCTGGTGCTTTTTCGGATAGCTGGTCGACATATCTGAATTGTCGGCTGATTGCGACGAACAAAAATACAGCAAAAGGAAGTTAATTTCAACTAGCCACAACTCGGTTTGCGAAGAACCTGCCTCTTGACTCTAGCCTAGATCTTTGTTGCTTCAGTTCCATACAATGGCCCTGCAAATTGTTTGATGTAGTTGGTTCAAACAAATCGGTCAACCTGAGACCACTGAGACACTTCATAATTTTGAACGTCCCCATTAAGTCAGCTCTCAGCTAACCGATTTTCATACGATAGCTCACGCTGACCTATCATTCGAGTGGCCAGTCTTTGCACATTCTCATTACAACCAATATCCTTCTGCAGGTACGGTGCCCAGGCTTGAACACAGTATTCTAGATGTCGTCTAACCACAGCTTTGAACAAGGGTAGAAAGACCTTTGGTTTGATACAACTCGGAACTCTTTGCGGCGAAATAACTTCTGTCGCGCTTTATTAGCTGCATGCCTGCACTGCGCCGAGGGCTTAAAGTCACCCATCACGATGTCGCCTAGATTGTCTCCGAAAAATTCCCTACTGCTGGGGGTGTTAGTGGAACCGCGGTTGCGGATACTACTGCGTTCCATCGGAAAAATTTGTGGTCCTTTCAATACTATTTTCGGCTATGGGAGCAAAGTCAAACTGTCTGATGAAGTCAAACCTGTCTAAAGCGACCACTCAAGGGACCAAAAAAGTGGTCGCCTTGGACAGCTGGTCGCTATGGACAGGTTCCTGCATAGGGACATTACTCATTAAAAAATGTCGCCGCTGGCTGCCGTAGACAGGTGGCCGCCCTAGCAGGTTGGACTGGAATCGTTATTCAGTCACACTCAGATCACGTAAGTCGTCTTTTAGTAATTGTGTGGAACATTCATATGAAGCGACGTCGACTACTCCCGAAGATATGTCGGAACTAGTATCGATTGAGACTCGTGTCATTTGACAGTTATCCACCTATGGAACCGGAACAAGAGGCTCATTTGCTGTTATGGTGGATGCAGAAGGTAGCGTGTACGGTACCACTTGGTCGGCCGGTTGCCGAGTTGTATGCGCGTCTGAATTGCAACCCTAAAGTCACCAGTTCGAATCCGCGTAGGGGTAGGCGTCCTCGCTGGATACGCAGCCCGCAGGGGCCTTACAGACTTTCTTATCCCTTTTCCTCCTGCTTTTAGTGCACACAGTGACTCGCTTTGGACGGCGTCCTGTGCGACATCAGAAATATCGTAAGGGGCATTTTGGGTAGCTGGGGCACACGACACAGTAGCTGTCGC